CAATTTGACTATTTAAATTAGGGGTTTTCTTTAAGTAAAAGAGAAAGCCTAGTAGAGTATAACAAGAATGTGCTTTTAGCAAAAATTAAACACCAAACATGGAAGATCAAAGGGTCTTTTATGAATACCCAGAAGATACCACACAGCTTCCATAAAGAATCTGGCCAAGTTAAACATCCCATGATGACTGCAAAATATACATGTGGCATGATGCATGTTAAATGTGATTCCCAGTGACATCACATCTCAGAAAGTTATTATACATTGTCTCATTTTTTAAATTAAAGGCAACAAGAATTATGAAAAAAACTGCTTAATTAGCTAAAGAATATATGACTGCACAGAAAAAAAGAAAACACAGTATCTTTGAATTTAGTTTCAAAGCCTTGCTTGATTTTGAACCATTTGGAGGAAGAAAAAAATGGTATCTGAATTCATTATAATATTGTTCTGCTTAAAAACTCTAAGTGTGTATTAGCTGAGATTAAGCTCAAACACTTGAGCCTGTGTGCTGGGCCTGCTGAGCTGTGCCGGACTTCTCCTGCTCGGTTTTGAACCACTTAATAAGGCACATTCCCCAGATGTCACTCATCTCCTAACCCTCTGTTCCTCAATGCACTCAAGCTCTTTTGAAGGGGATGGTGTGTGCCAGGCCAGCTCAGCCAAGGGTTCGGTGAGCCTGAGCGGGGGCGGCAAAGGATGTAGAAAAGACAGACCAAGAGAATAAGCTGTGTCTAGGTGGATCTCCTGTGCCTGGCTGAAGCCACAGAGAGAGATCCAGACAGCAAGCTGAGCCTTTATTTTATAGCCCGAGGCAAACAAGGTAGTGGTCACCATAGTTACAGTGTTCTTGTGAGTTTCACTTGTTTTGGCAGCACTTGCTGCATCTCCCTCAGCCCAAGATCTAGGGAGTATCATAAGGTCAAGCCTAATTATGCTAAGCGGGCTGTGCCCTCTAAGCTGGGACTTGTTTGTGGCTTTGCCAACAGGTCAATCCAAGGCTTAACCCTGTAGCCGCTACCTTCAATGGTGTCTTAGTCTACTTTGTCTCTCCTGTCCCCTGCCCCTCCTTCAATATGGTCATTACACATTATCAGTATGCTAATACTAATCAGTATATTACTGTAAATGCACAGTCACTTTTATTTGCTTTTTTTTTACAAATTAAAAGTTCATTAACAACAAGAAATACGCAACAGTGTAAAGATCAGCAAAAAAAAACAAAACAAAACACGAATGGATTTATAAAGCCATACATAGATTCAGCTTCTGTCTTCCCAGCCCTTCAATATTTGGCTCATTCTCTGCATGCATTCACCGAGGGTTCTTTTCTCTAGGTACATGTGTTTCCTTTGCTTTTACCATAGACATCATTATTATAACTCTGTTGGAATCAGATTGTTATTGCGGATTTCTCACCTTCTCTATTCCCAACTAGAGAGACCTGGAAGGGGATATTAAGAATTGTAATGATTTTCATAAGGTTTGCTTTACATTTCTGAAAGACAGCAAGGTTCAATGAACATTTATTTTGTTTACTTCTCATTCCTGTACTTCATACCCATTGATTCCAGGAGATGCTGTGCCTCTAGTGAGCCAAGAGCTGTCCTGGGGTAAAGGCCATGAGGGTCATGGCGTTGGCACTTCTCAGAGCATGGGACCTAAGGCACTCTTGCAAGAAAAATATCAAGAACAAACTGGGTTTGTTCTCCTCATAGGTTTCTGGCACTATTTATTATCTCCATGACTGTGCAGGTAACAGGTGACATCAGCAGTGTCCCCAAAAGACAGCTTTCCTAACTGGTAGATAAAACCTGGAGTAACATAATGACATTTATTCTCAAAGCTGGAGACTATAATCCATTTTGATTTTATGTAGTGTGACAGGTGTTGATATTTGAGTCTGTCTGAAAGACGTAGGTAGTGTGAAATGTGTTGATCATGAATCCAGGGGCATGCCTCTCAGTTTCCTAGGTTAATATTTATCCTTATATTGGATAATGGAATAACACTGTTAACTTGAGTAATGTCCCCTCTGCTATGCTGTATGTCAACAAAGTGTTCCTGTTGACCTATAAATTCAATTTCACAAAACTCTCACTGAATTAAACAGAGGATCCTAGAATGTGTTCCTGATAAAATGGCACTTGAAATATATGACATAGGTTTACTGAGGCAGGGCCAGCTCATGGAGCAAGCAATAATCAATAACCCTCATTCCCTTGGGTGCCTCTCTTGTTATCACCTCCCATTCACACACACACACACACACACACACACACACACCATTCCCAGGGAGTGAGTTAGCATTCATTGTTCCTTTAGGGTGAAACAGATGATGGCCTAAAAGAGCTCATAAGTCTTTGTGAAAAGGCCATACCAAGAGGCAAATTGTGGCTTTAATGTCATTCTTGCAGGGAAATTAGACTTCTCTCGAAAAACAAAAACAAGCCAAGAAACTTTATTTTCATCCTTATTCACTCCCTGAGCTTAAGGTTCAAAACATCTTCTGTTCCTAGGTGAGCGCTCTGCACAAGGAAAAACCAAAAACTGACAGCTTGATGAATCTTCCCCACACCTGGGCAATAAATATGTAAGTTTCCTAATTTCATTCACTGAGCTACTCATTAACGTCTGCTTTGTTAGCCGGTTGCAGCTTAGATGACTTTCAAAGACTTTTATTAGGAGAAAAGTTAATGATTTGTGCCAATGAAACCATCATTGTCTACTTGTCTAAAAACAAACACTAAAATGATTTGCCAGAGCAATGAATGGCTTGGGGGGGCTGTAAAAAGTTCTTCCAGTTGCCCGGCCTACCTCAGAATGGCACAGTTCCTGCCTATTGGGGATGTTTCCTTCTCATTGCAGTTTGCCTTTATCTGGCTCACTATACACACACTGACAGTGCACTTAGACAGGGTCCTATTGCTATTCTAGACTCACAGGACTCAAAATGAGAATGCTTACAAATGTGTAGTTTATTGCAGGAAAGGTTATGACTCAGCAGCAGCATTAGTGTTGGGATGTGCATCACCACCAAAAGCTGGCACAGGGCATGAGATCCAGAGAAGCCAGCTTGGAGGTCCGATTGTCCTCCCTCTGTAAGGACTACACCAGGATGTCTTTCCTCTCTGGGTCCAGGAACCATGGATGTGTGCACAGAGCACCTCAAACAAGGTCATCCAAAATGTAGTTTCATCTGGAGTTTTTTATACCAAGCCAGTCATGCAGACAATTTCTTGGTCTATAACTAGTTGAGTGACAAAGCCCTCCAGGTATTTTAGTGACTACCATATGCAGATGATCAATTTCGCTACAATAATAGTTAATCAATAAATAATTAAAACTGTTCAAAACTATGTTTACAAGCAACACTGTTATTCTGCGTGCTCCATGCTTTAACCAGGAATCAGGGCAAAGCAGGTGTATTTCTCATTTCATTAAAAGAGCGCGGGCCTTGTCCTGACTGGTTTGGCTCAATGGGTAGAGCATTTGCCTGTAGACTGAAAGGTCCCAGGTTCGATTCCAGTCAAGGGCATGTACCATAGTTGCGGGCACATCCCCAGTAGGGGGTGTGCAGGAGGCAGCTGATTGATGTTCCTCTCTCATCTATGTTTCTAACTCTTTATCCCTTTCCCTTCCTCTCTGTAAAAAATCAATAAAATATATATTTAAAAGAGTGCAAGCCAATTTTAGGCCTCCTGGAATTAACTGTCCCAGCTTAGCATACAATTGTCTTTGCTTTCCTAGAATTGGCTCAGATTTTCTTCTGACTCATTTCTTTTTCATACGAAGCATTGATTAAGAGCCCCCACAATTAGTATTTGGTTCTTTTTAGAACTGCAGAAGAATTTGCCCTTTGGCAACTAATATTTTTTTAAAGAACAAAAAATATATATGCCCATAATTGGCCTGACCAAAATGGCAGTCACTCTGGGTAGTGTCCAGGGGGAAGTTATCATTGTTGTGTCTACTCCCTGTGTCACCTGCCCAGCCACTAATACGATGCTGTTCCAGACACTGTAATAAAAAAACTCCTTTGTTCCTATATTGGTTGCAGATTTTTGAGAAAAAATGGTCAATGCAACATTAATCATAAGCACTACCCTACTCACATGAATCCAGATGTTTACCTAGCTGATCTATGCTGCAAACACTTGACTTTACTTGGAAGTTCACCTACAGAGGAGCCAAGTTCAGTTAAACAATATCTGGGACCACAGTCAAAAGAGCTATTAATACAAAAATAACTTGTGTTAAGTTTTGAAGGCCACTGAAGTAAAAGACTAGACATATGTTAGTTCTATGCAGTTCTATACACATTTGTGTTTTAAATGCAAATGTGCTCTGTTTTCTTCTTCTGAGATTAATTCTCTTATGACAAGAAGTAGCAAAGATGACATCACTAAAGGAATTGATTTGCTGTTACACAGGACTTCAGCTAAGACCAGAATTTCAATGCGAAAATGTGAAGTAGAGAAAGTACACTTCCTTCTTATTGATGCCAACAAATGGTCTGAATGAAGTGGTCAATAATCAGTGTGGACATGGGGATAGTAGCTAGTAATATCCCACGGAGAAAATGTGTAAAGGACTAAAGGAAGAAAGAGACAATAGAAAAATTAGGTAAGCTTTAAGTGCCTGACTGAGTAAGAATTTTCAAAACATAAAACAATGTAAGAAAATTGAATGGAAAAGATAGAAATTCTACTATATTATGACTTAAAAGTTCCAAATATAAAGAGAATTATAAGAAAACAAATTGAGGAAATGTATAAATATGACACCAGTTCATTAATATTCTAAACATACAAAGATGTTGCATACATACTGGGAAATAGAAAAGTAAAGCAAAGACCATGAACAGATAATTTATGGAGGACGGAATAGAAATGATAACATAAAATTGTATAGAGGATTCCTATACTACCGCTAATCAAAAAATGTGAATCAAGACCAAAATATATAACCTTCAATCTACTTGAACTTTTTGGTAATTTTAAAAATTATACTGGTGAAGCAAATAGTTTTATATCTTGCATTTGAAAGTATAAATTAGGTTAATAATTACATTGGGTTCCACATCCAAAAACCAGGCTAAAACAATCATTTCTCCTAAGATCATTGTGCTTCTTTGTTTCTAAAGTGTTAATATACTTAAAGAGCCTATTGTGATACTTTATTATAAAAGCAATAATTTATTCTTTGTAAGAATTATAAACTTATGAAATTTTAAGGTTGTGAGAGATTCAGTGCTTATAAAGTCCTGTATTATTACTATTATTCATAAAGATGACACATACACTGAAATTTATAGAGATTTTAATGTTGAACCCTCTTGTCAGCTGCAGATGCTCTGGGAGACCATCAGAAATACCCTGTTCTGCAGTCCTTTCCACAAACTAAGGCTTAACATAGCTCCTATGGCCACTCTCTGCTCCTCAAACTGCCTCTCCCTCATGCCATGGAAGCCAGTGGCCATCTTTCCCCTATGCAAGTCAAGAATACAACCAACTCTACCAAAGACCCTGCTTCCGCCAACTGCGCCATAAAGAATAGGGTGCAGGTCTCCACCCCAGCACCATTCCTGCCCCACCCCCATCATATCATCCTCCTCCCAGACTCTAGCAAACCCCAGCATTGCCACAGAGCAAACATCTAGCCCCTGCCAGGTCAGGCCACTGCCCATTTCCCATCTCCAGCTAGTTTTTAGACGAACAGAGAAAGTTGTTTCTGCCCCAATATAATCAACCAAAGTCCTGGCTCTGCTTCCTATGAAAGAGACACAGAGAGTTGTCTGGTCATTCTTCTCTCTACTTATTAGGTGAAGAATTAACGTTTCCAATAAATTTCTTAATTACCCACATTGTCACCCCAAGCGACACACCTTGAATTATGTCCCTTAGTGACAAGGTACAGTTAAGAGCTTTAATTAGAAGAGGAATATGATGAGATTTGTGCTTGAGACACATCGCTGATGTTTACTGTGAAAGATGAATCCAAAAGGAATGAGATTGTAAGCAGAAAAGTCAGAAAGCTATTGCAGTATTCTCTCAGAAAAGGACAGGACTTACCACATCTGCAGTGACACAGAGATGGGGATGAAGAGACAGAATGGAAGAGAGAAATATCAGGCACATGTGATTCTGTGATTGACTGAATGTGAGCAGTGAGGAATGAAGAAGATTAGGACTGCATATGATGTCCAGACTTCTGGCATGAGTGACTGGATGGGTCATGGAGGTAATCTCAAAGCTGGGAATTATGGAGTGAGAGGGAGCAGGTTTAGGAGGCAGTATAGTGGTTTCCCTTTCAGACATGTTCAGTTTCAAGTGACTCTACTGGGTGGAAAATAATTATTCTAGTCACTATCACATTCACCCCCATATCCAACATCTCTACTTACTCACTTTCTTGGAATCTGAACTTTTTTTCCCTACGGAGTAGAAAGAGAGAAAGATCCTGACTTCCAGTCCTGCTCGCCAGTCTACACCAGTCACCTGTCCCAAGAAAATGATGTCCAGATGACATGCAATAATCTGATAGAATAAAAAGTCCTGGGTCTTTCCTGTCCATTGAGACAGGAGAAAGCACATGTGTACATTGTTTGGGAACATTCTCAGGAGAATCGATTTTAGGAAAGGCATTTGTGAGCAGTTAACCAGGCAGCCCAGGCATGTGGGTTCCCTGACGACGTGACCTTCCTTCAAGTTTAAAGTTTCCGGAACTGGCAGTTTTTACCCATGGTGCCTTTCTTACTTTCCTGGTGTTCTTCTATTACCTAATGCTTGTATTTATTGTTTTCTACTATGACTATGTTAATGCAGGGAAAATTTGCAAGTGTATTATTAAATATTAGGTAGAAATCATGACGTGCCACTTTGTACATAAAGATATTTTATTCATATGTTCATATGTTAGTTTTAATAAATATTGACTGTATTCAACACACTAAAATATCAGAATGTGACCGTGAAGATGGTGAAGGTATTGTCTTCCCATAATTATGAAAAATTTTGGATTGACTATTAGATTATGGGAACTCTATAATGAAAGGCATCTGTAATAAGTGAGAAAGGGACAGAGGATTCATGTATTAGACCCTGTTAGGGGTAAGTCATACCATTTCTTTGGTCTTTCTATTTGTAATTCACACTATGTAATAAGGATGTAAGGGCATTTATGACACTGTAGTGCGTTCATTAAGAACATAAGCAGGATTGAGGGTAATCCTTTCAAGACTATCTCCGTGCTTTTTTTTTATTTCTTTTGGAAATGTAATGATTTGTCCTAGCAGTGATTGTTAATAGAAATGAACATTACATAAATACATGATTGTGATATTATTTTTCACTGTATCCCTTTCCTTAAAAAACATATGATTGTAGCTGCCGCTCCATCAGGAGCAGATTATTCAGTTGAAAGCTGATTGATCAACCTTGACCACTTCTTGGATGCATGCAATCAAAATGTCATGTTGGGTGAAGTTCTGTGGAAAGCTCGGAAACTAACAAGCTGCCAGGGGCAGCTCTTTCACTTGTATGATTACCTTCGCCGAGTCAATGCTAAATCATCCTAGTGATGTGAGGACAG